GAGGAGGAAAAGCGGCGTCGTGAATTGATCAAAAACAAACCAGCTTTAAGTGAAATGTTGAATTTATTTGACTTCGAAGCTGTAGCTTCACAAGTTTCGAAGGCTGAGGCGTGGGCATATTACAACTCTGCCGCAGATGATGAAATCACTCATCGAGAAAATCATAATGCTTTTCATCGTATTTGGTTTCGCCCTCGAGTCATGAGAGATGTAACTCATGTGGATATGAGCACAAAAATTCTAGGGCATTATTCTTCTTTTCCATTATATATAACAGCTACTGCATTGGGAAAGCTTGGACATCCCGAGGGTGAAGCTAATTTGACTCGAGCTGCATATTCACATAAAATTATTCAAATGGTACCTACTCTTTCATCATGTTCAATGGATGAGATTGAAAATGCTCGTGGAAAAGGGCAAGTTCTATTTTTTCAATTATATGTGAATCAAAACAAAGATATAACACGGAGAGTCATTCAGAATGCTGAAGCGATAGGTTGCAAGGCACTTTTCATTACTGTGGATGCACCGCAATTGGGTCGTCGTGAAAAGGATATGCGCATGAAATATGTTAATGCACCGCCAGACATTCAGGAAGAAAAGGATTTAGATCGTGATCAGGGTGCTGCACGAGCTATCTCTTCTTTTATCGATCCAAGCTTAAACTGGAACGATCTAGAATGGTTCAGATCTGTTACATCTATGCCTATTGTTCTCAAAGGTATTCAGACTCTCGAAGATGCAATACTTGCGGTAAAGTATGGATGTGATGGTATAGTTCTTTCTAATCATGGAGGTCGTCAACTTGATTTTGCTCGTTCTGGTATAGAAATTCTTCCTGAGGTTGTCGAAGGTTTAAAGAAACAAGGCTTATTAAATAAAGTTGAAATATACGTAGACGGAGGCATCCGCCGTGGAACAGACATTATTAAAGCAATTGCATTAGGTGCAAAAGCTGTTGGAATTGGGAGACCACTACTTTACGCTATGTCTTCATATGGACAAGCTGGCGTTGAACGCGCTTTAAAATTATTAAAAGAGGAAGTAGCGGTTGGTATGCGTCTATTAGGTGCCAATACGCTTGCGGACATTAGTCCCGACATGGTAGATATCAAAAATTTAGCAACTCATGTATATACACCAAAAGATTATTTATATTCAAATGTGTACGAGAGGATTGTTCCTAGGCGAAGCAAGTTATGATAATTTCTCAATATATTACTATTTACAAATGAGGGGTGTTTTTTTTTTTTTTTTTTTGGAGAAATCTTAAAGTGACTGCTACTGTATAATCTATGTAAATTACGACTATTTACCATAATCATTTATAATCCAACAGATTATTTGTAAAAATTTTACGTGTACTAATAAAAAAAAAAAAAAAAAAAAGCACGAATCCTACATTAACGTTTATACACTGCGCATATGTTTATTCATTTAATAACGATAAAAACTTAAAATGTCTAAGTCATTGTTCCTAAATCAAATAATCAATACAAAACTAATCAATAAAAGATAACAATTGCATTATATAATAAATAAAAGCAATTTACCAGTTCTTTTGCTTTTTCGTAGCAATCCATATAATGCTCTTTATAATCAAAAGCTTCTTCATCCTTCAGGTCAGGAACAATCATCACTACACTTGTAGGACGCTTTGTAGCACAGGCAAATCCAAGATCTGCTCTCGATGGAATGTAAATATAAGGCACATTAAAGTCTTCGCATAGTATTGGGATGTGAGTGATTATGTCTATAGGTGAAATATCCCCAGCAATTACGACAAGACTAGACGTTCCAAAACAAGTATATAATTGTTAACACGTTTAAACGTAATGAGTAAATATAGAACTATTATTAGGACGAATCTTCGTCCAGACTTACAATAAATTGTATTTACCCTTTATGTCCTTTTTTTAGAGCTTTGACTACTTCCTTGACACCACGTCTACAATGTCTTTTTCTTGAAGCTAGCCATGATTAATTAAATATTATGCTAAATTGAACTTCCAAGTAAAAACGTTGAATTCAATGTTTTGTAACAATTTTTATTCCTTAATACCTTTTCTCACAACTTGCATTAATTCTAGGGTAAATTCCTCAGTTGCTAAAGGTGAAGCAAATGGTATCAAAGCGCTCAAGTCATAATGTACCACCATAGAAATATCTTTCTGTGCTGTTGCAGTTTCTGAAACATTCTTTGGAACTTTCTCCGTAGCTGTTTCTTCGACCGTTTCCGTTTTTGCAACTATCATTTCGATGTCTTGAGTTAATGTTTTACCCTTAGAACGCTCCTTATCACGCTTCTCCTTGTGAGACTTTTTCTCCTTCTTCTCCCTCTTTTCCTTCTTCTCCTTCTTTATTTTCGTTTCCTTTTTTTCTTTAGGCATTTTGCTATTATAAATTAGAATAAGAAAAAAAAAAAAAAATTCTAAGATATTTATAGCCAATCAGAATTCAACGAACGGAGGTCATACAGTACAGTCAGGGAATATACCAAATTTGGGGGACGTCTAAAGCGGAGGCAACTTATATTTAATAATTTTTTCGATTAATTTAGGGTTAGGGTCTTCTATA